TTCCACAATTGTAATAGTTGTCTTTAAACTTCGTGGCTTTCTTGGAGCTATCTCTTCTTGGTACATCACCAGAGATCTTGCACTTCTTGTTGACAACCTTTGAATTGGTTTCAACAAAGTTTTCTCTAAGTTGGACAATAGACCTTCTCTGGACTTTTCTATTGTCTTCTTTGATCGTCAAGCGGACTATTGATTCCTCCAAATTCATCTCCTTGCGTTTGTGTTTGAGATAATTTTTGAAATCTCTCCACATAGGAGAGAGTTTCTCAATGATGGTAACAATTTGGAAGGATTCGCTCAACTCCATCTTTTTAGCATATATGTCATGAAGTATAACTTAAAGTTCTTTTTATTGACTTATCATGATTTTGGAGTCTACCATCTTGTATTCCGAAACCATGTCAACTATAAATTTTTTCGTTCCGACATCCTTGATCTTCTTTTTTTTTCCAACAAATCCCATCGATTCGTGGTCAAATCCCTCAAACTATACACTCCATATAGTATATTATTCAATCCATTTAAAATATAGTTTTTACATAAGAAGTTCGAGTGCTTTCATGCATCTAAAGCAATAATTGATTCACGATTATTTTCATCTTCATGTACTGCAGGAGCGTTTTCTTTTAGAAACTTCTCCAAATTTAATGTAGTAAGATAGTACAAAATCTTTTGTTATCATCTCTTGAAGTGTATGTCTTCGAACTTTTTCAATTTTTCCCCATTTGGGATAGCAATATTTTGAAGTGGTATAGCCAAAAGCACAACCACATTATTCGTACCATTGGTTGTTTGACTAAAAGTAGTCTCGATAATATTCATTTATGTTACGCTAGTAAGTAAAGCCTACTCCAAAAATGAAGATAACGGGTTTGTTTCCACACAACAACCGAAAACATTGTCTTAAAATGTTATTCAGAATATTTGGTGGTAAAAAGGTTGTTTTGTGACGGACAAAATATCAAAGTTTAATCCGCAAGAGCATAATTAAACATAACAAAATTTGGAAGAGAACTTTATGGTATATAACCACAAAGAAAAACAAAAAATTAAGAACAAAAAAATCCGAGACAAGTGAAAAATCACTCTTTCCTTAGGACAATATTGCCTCACAAGGTGCTCATAGATAATAACTCTGGTCTCCAAAGATACAACGAATTCAACTTGTGGCTGAAATACTTTAAATCACAAACAATAGAAAAACTTTGAATAGAGTTTTCCCTCTCTACTAGGAATTATGGCTTTGAATGATTATGAAGATGTTTTGAAAGAATTTTGAAGTAGTGATCAATGCAAAAGTGATATGGAATGCCTTATGAACGTCCAAAGAGTCCTATCTATAGATAATGAGCGGTTGTGAGTGAAGTAATGCGCACCAACCCTCGCAACTTTACGAAGGGAAGCATCACTTGTTGTCGCTAGCATATAGCTAGGCTCTAGCTCGAGTGCCAGTTTCAAAATTTTAACAGATTCTTTCCGCCTGCTTGTGGCTAGCCTGTAGCTCGAGTGACATTCCCATCACTCGAGAGAGAGAATCGACGGAGCTAGGCAAAAATTCAGGCCAATTTTTCCTCTATTTTTCTTTCAGGTTTGAACCTCAATTTCTCATTCATTTGGAATTGGTTTCGAGGTTTCAAATATATCACGATGATTTACTCGACGAGTAGAACAAGTTAGTATATTTACATTTGTAATTTGACTATCAGATCAAATCCGAATATTTGACCGAATTTAATATAAAAGTCACTTTTTCCACTTTTATATTTAACCAAATTTTCTCAAATTTAAACTAATTTCAAACATTTACTTTATTGTTCGTGTTAAGTTGTGACACTGGCAAATTCAACAAAGATGTAGACATATAGTAGCACTCAGATAGGTAGTAAGTGCCAAACACGAAAAAGAAAATAATTAATAGAATGATTGATAAGTGTAAATATTATTCATCCACTTGAAATTTTCAAGATCATCAAAAGAACATTAATGGGACCCACGCAAACCAAAATTAAGTGATTTTTGGGTCATAAGGTCTGTGATCTTCTCTCTTCGTAATTGAGTAAAATCCACCTCCCATTGCTTCACCAAATAAAGGATCTCCTCCAAGCAGTATTGAATTTTGTCTTAAAAGTTGGAACCAAAATTTGACGTCAAATGTATATATTCACTTTATTTACAAACGTTTCATATGATTAAGTGGAGATTTTTATTGGGAATCATCACCAACAATACTAGAATAAATAGGTTTCTTTTTTCTTTTTTTAATTCTCGATATTAAATCAACTATTAAATTAATTTATATCAATTGAGAGTAATCACTACTTTGTCATAATAGAATCGTATTAAATCGAACCAAAATCTTATAAATAGCTTAGTTTTTTTATGGGTGATTTTCACAAGCCGACTCGTGAATCGTGGACATGTACCGGTTTGGTTACCAAATGACCAAAGGGTTAAAAAAAATGATGGCGGTCATATTTTCTATTTTATTTTCTAAAGAAAAAGTCTTTTTTTTGTCTTTTTTTTTCTTTTCTTTTTTTTTTTCCTATATAAACCCCCTTGCCTACTTAAAATTTTTCCACAAATTTTACCTTCTCAATCTACAATAGTTACAATCACCATATTAACTTTTTTATTGTCTCTAAAATTTCCTATTTAAATTATTTCTGTCCAATTCTAGTGTAAATTATATTTTTCTACTTCTTTCTAATTCTACCACATTATTTTCAAATGAATTACAACAGATTTTTGAAAATTTGTGACTTCAACCAGATGTTTGATGCTCCGACACAAAAAAAAATTTACTCTACATTAGAGAACGATTTTAGCAGTCTAAATGATGTTTCATTTCCTAATACAAAGTGTTAACCGTTGGGAACACTTCAAATGGTGACCATAGGTGCAGATGGTAGAAGAAAAGTAAAAACACAAAAGTCAATGTAAATATTGCCCCAAAAAAAAAAAAAAAAAAAAAAAGAAAAAATCTCTTAATTAGAGAACGATTTTAGCAGTCTAAATGATGTTTCATTTCCTAATAATTTGGGCGATGACCATGACAGCATGAATTCAACTGATTTGGATGAAGAGCGACTATAGGTTAAATGAGTAAACGACGAATGGATAAACAAAGTGTTAACCGTTGGGAACACTTCAAATGGTGACCATAGGTGCAGATAGTAGAAGAAAAGTCAAAACACAAAAGTCAATGTAAATATTGACCCAAAAAAAAAAAAAAGTGAGTTTGACAAAAGGTATTAGCAAAATCTATGTAAACGAATGTCAATATCTAATTGTTTTTACTATGTTATATGATTTACTAACAATTTCGGTGTCTACTATGATATCGAAAGAAGCGTACATGTAATATTCTGTCCTCTTTCAATTTTAACTTTGTTTACATTATAAATAGTCAATCATAAAGTCGAAAAAAGGATGAGAGTTCTATTTTTTTGAAATTAAAAAATAAAGGAAAAATATATAAATTATTATAGTTTCAAGATACATTTTCAAATTAAAAAATTTTACATTTTTTTTATTTTTATAATCAAGTGGTCGTAATTTGTGAAATCTGACCATTTTTGTGATCTATATTTAATCAAATAGATCGAGGACAAAATAAAAATATAATTTATGGTCACGATCACAAAGTAATCACAAATTAAGCATATAAGGTTACAATCATAAAGACATATTTTGTGAGTCACAATCCTGTATTTTAGTCACAAATAAAAAATTAATAGTTCACAAAATATTTAATAGTCATAAATTACTCAATTAATGGTCATAATTACTTTTATCTCACCCTATCTAACACGGCACAATCCAAGTCATCACTGTCACCTCAAATCTACAACCTCTCACCATCGCCATAAACGCACCACCACCTGCAATGAACCACCATCGCACCATCGCTGGCACCACCCCCAAAATGCTGTTGCCACCTTAAATCCATAATCCCCAACCACCACCACCACCTTCACCACTTGCACCTCAATCCACAAATCAATTATGTCTTGAAAAATCAAATAGACACTAAATGAACAAATATTCATGAAACTAAGCCCCTGTTTAATTTCCTATATATATATATATTTTCAAAATACATTTTTCTATCTTTTCTTTTCAATCTCACATTCTTCAATAAACTGATACTATAAACAAATTTAAAACTTTTTTTTTAATTTTTTAACCATACATTCTCCATTAAATTACTATTCCAAAATACATTATTTCCAAAAAAATGGAGCTCAAACATGAAGTAAATATATCTTAAAAAATAAAAAATAAATTGTTACTCCAAGCCAACAAGGACAAGCTTTAGAGTAGCCAAACTCTACTGATCTTTAAATCACCCTAACATACACAAATTTTGTATCTACAACAGTTTTTGAGGATCTAATAAATAAAATGATCAAGGAGAAAATTGACCAAATAATTTGAGATGAATTTTTTAGCCAAAGGAGGAGTGAATGAGAGAGAAATAGTATAATTTCAACGATGATATTTCTGGTAGAAGGCGTTAGATGGATCTGGGAGTGGTGGCGACGACGGGTGAGTTGAAGGTATATTGTACGAAAATGAATAAAATAATGGTGGACTTGTGTGAAATGGGGTTAGGGTGTAGAGGGTAGTTGGCTAGATAGTTTCGATGGTGATTGTCTGAGTTGTCGGTAGTAGCCGATTGATATGTGATGTAAATAGAGAAAGTGAATATAGAAAGAGAATATAGTGTGTGCAAGTAAATTGAGAGTAGAAAACTATATTATTTTTTACAATATTAATTATTATTGAACAAAAATTAATTGTATCTAAATTTTTTAATTTGAAAACCCCGATTGAAATTGAAACTTAAAAAAATTGAAATGTACGATTCAGATAATTTTCTCATAAATAAAAGTGCTTGTGGACGGTTCAACTCCACTCAAGAAGCGCAAGAGCCAAAGACAGAGCCTAACAGTGTTTTTGAACTCGAAGCCAGCTTAAGTTCGTCTTGTAACTCGAGTATTGCACCCGATTGCCACTCGTATATCGTACCATGCCGACTCTCAACATGTAATGTAACTTGTAAAACCCTATTAATTTCGTTTTCTTTTATTCTCCTCTAGTGTTGAACAACAGAGTTAAACCCTTTCCTCTTTGCAATCCAATCCCTCTCTCCATGTCATCCAACAATCCTTCGCAGCTCCTTCCGTCAGGTACTTGTTATTTCCTTTCTATTCGTTGCGTTTATGGGTTTTGTTCATCTCTCTATAAAGAAATTTTTCGAATAATTCAAAAATCATGGGTTTTGCTGTCCAATTCGTATGCAGAGCTGATCGATCGTTGCATAGGGTCGAAAATCTGGGTCATAATGAAAGGAGACAAAGAGTTGGTTGGTACCCTAAGAGGATTTGATGTCTATGTAAACATGGTGTTAGAAGATGTCACAGAGTAGTACGTTTTTTGCTTTCAAAGTAAATGCATATTTTTCTATATGGGTTTGATTTTTTTATATAATTATATCTGCTAAACTGTGATTGTTGAAAAATATGGATTCTTTCATAATCGTTGGAATGCCTATTTTACTTTTGAAACGGACTCAAAATGATTGTGTTTTGTTTCTTAGAAATCATTGCATATGGATATTTAGTTAGCTTGTGGTTGTTATTCGAAAGAGCAAGTTATTTATTTATTTTTTTCTCTCTTATATTATGTTTACATTGGATTGATATGTGCTGGTTAGATCCAAGGGGGAGAGAGCTCGTCTGGCTTCTCTTGCTGAAATCATTACTCTTCATTCTCTCGTGCTATGGGCTCTAGCAACTGAGCTCCCTAGAAATGTCTAATTATACTAATACTGATAAGTGATGAGTAAAAAACTTACCAAGAAGAAAATGTAGAACCTGCATGAAGTTCTGTTAATATCTCGTCTTTCTGAAACAGATAAAAGATGGAAATATTGTAAAGTATTCCTAAGTTTGATTAACCAAATCGAACACATATTGACCTATTTATATGCACTTCTTAAAAGCACTCTAAATGAATGTCCATGTGTCGATTTTGGATACTGAAATGTAGCTGTTTTACTGTTGGAGAACTGATGAAAATTTAAATTGTGTTTCTCATGTACCCACACCAACTAAAATAATAATTTCTTATTTGTTAATTTTTAGATTTTTCTTTTATTTGTTTGCATTCATTAAATTGCAATTAAAAATTTTGAGGATTGTTTATTATTTATTATGAGTTTACTTTGCATATTAAAACATCTTTTTGATATTTTTTTGGTTTACGGTTAGGCTAGAGCCTCACATCATGAAGGAAAAATGCCTTAGCATCTGAGTACACGTTTTAAAACATTGCCAGTGGTAGACTAGTAGATACATTTACTGATTTGTGAGCGTTATATTAGGTGTTTTTTTCTTTTTCTTTTTTTTTTTTTTCCCCATAATTCAGATTGTTATTTGAACTTAGATCTGTGAAATGGAGAAAGATTCATTATCTATATAATGTGGTTACACCAGATAAAACAGCCACTTAGTGTCATCTTCCTAAATACCTTTTGTGTAGGAAGATTTTAATTGTCTAAAAAGACTTACCAATCATAAGTCTTTTTTACTTAAAGATGTTATAATTACCCTTAAATTCCTGAGAAAACCCCATAATTATTGATATAGAGAAGAGATGATATATGGCCAAGTGTTCCCAAAATTTGAAACCTTATATGTACATATTCTTCCTGTTGATGACAAATATTTGGTGTAGCCCATCCAGCTTTCCAGAAAAGAAAACCAAAGCGTGATTGTCGTAGTTGACAGACTCTTCTACACTTGAATTGCTTTTTTAGGAGGGTTTTCCCGTTATCTATTTTGACTTTGGATATATAATTGCCCCTGCATGTTTTTCCCCATTGCAGAAAAACTACAAGGCAACAGACCAATTTCAAATTAGATATGGGATTCCGTTTGAACTAAGGGTTTGAGGGCTTCAAGGCCAAAGGTTAAAAAGGTTAACTGATTGGGGGCCTCAGGCTATAGATCTGCTTTATCATTTGTAAAACATAAAAACTGTATATAGAACCAACTAATGTGCTTAGAGGACATGTAAAATTTGTTCAGGGCATCCAATTGAAACTCTGGCAACTCTAGTTTATTGTTGAGAGATTTTTTTCTCTCTCCTTTGATTTCCATCTCATTTTGTGTGTGTGTGTGTGTGATGTTTTCTTTCTGTAGTATGTGGAGGAGTGGGAGGTAGGGGATGGGGTCTTTGGAAATGATAAAAGAGGTAGTAAAAGGGAATAGTTGAGATTAATTACACATTACATAGTCTTTTCTGTGAAAGTAAAGCTAAGCCACAAGGGAGCCACCGGCCGCTTGAACCTAGTATTTAGTCCCTGGCGAGGTGTGCTGGTGGCCAGGGGCATTGGGTATATGTCTTTCAAGCTTCTGATAAACCTCAGGAGATTTTAAGCAAACCTGGATGTGTAGAAGACAGAATTGCTCTAAAATAAATATGTACCTTGTTCTTAAATAAAATTAGAAATAAATAATTTTCTCGTTCTTTTTAGTTTTTCTGAGAGTGAAGCAAATGAGTGATGAAGAAAATGGTTTCTCGTATCATATGCCCTTTTATCTACCCTTTGCAGGAAGTAGATTACTATTATATCCACTATGTTGACATAATAAAATTTTCCAACCTTCTACTTCTGTGTTTTAGAGAGAGAAGCTTGTTGCAGATAAAGCTTCACCCAAAAAAGAGGGTTTGAAGTAGAGAAACGTTTTGGGTTTACATGTAAAATTATTTTATTGGGAGAATGTGTGGTTGAAGATGAGTTCGGAGAAAATGGGGATCAAATGGTGGCATAAAGATAGAGCTTACGGGTATGCAAGCTTATTGGGATGTCTTCTTTATCTTGAGCATAATATTTTGATAAGCATAAAAGGTTCTTAAAAGCACCTGTTTTGGCAGCATTAAGGTGATGCTGCTGCAAAAAGGTAGCCGTACACGTTCCTTATCTTGAAAAGTGATGACTTTTCTTGTTGTGTGCCATTTGAAATAGGCCCATCAGGGTAACTCCTGTGCCTCGTGCTTGCTTTTCTGTGCATATAAGCCTCAAGCCTCTAGTCTTTGCCTGTTCACCTCTAGATCTTGTTAGTTATCAGGTCTTCTTGTAGTTGCCTAGGATGTAGTCAATTTAGATCTTCCAGTACATATAGCAATGAACCAATTGGAGCTAGAGAAAAAGAATTCATATAGACAATTTCAAATTTAGTCGGAACAAGGCCTAGTTCACTGTTGTTTCGCCTGTGCATTTAAAAATTTTAGGCCTCTTGTCTTTGCCTGTATTCACCTTCAGATAATTTTAGGCCTTGTCTGTCATCAGGATTTGTTGCAGTTGCTAAGGATCTAGTTAATTTTGATCTTCTTGTAGATATAGCAATGAATAGAATGGAGGGGAATAAGGATTTATTTAGCGTACTCCAAATTTAGTGGGAACATGTTTCTTTTCCTGTCCGTCCTCAGGGCTTGCTCTGCAACTGACCTGAGAAGAGTGCATTCAGAGGTTTTATCCATGTTGCTACTATTATGTCTAAATATTTCATGACGTGCTGCTAAAACTCAACTGCACTTTTTTCAGTGAGATCACCTCGGAAGGGAGGCGAATAACAAAGCTTGATCAAATATTGCTCAATGGAAACAACATAGCGATTGTAAGTATGACATATTTTTTGACGAGTGTGCTCTCTGTTTTGCCGCCTCCACATTTTAGTTTTACCGCCTTTTGTCAATGCAAGCTACAAATTTCTGATGTCAGCTAAGAATCATCTTTTATGCAATGCAGCTGGTTCCTGGTGGCTCACCTGATCCAGAATAAGGTGCTCAATTCCAGTTTGTATTATTTTGCTCTCTCTTGAAAACGAGAGTGGTTGTCAAAAAGGCACATCTTAACCAGTTATTTATCGCATTATTATGTGTATGTCATGGGGAAACAACTTAGTAAGGTCGGTTGAACAACTATTTCTCTACGAATCTGCAGCTAGTTGGAAGTTAACTATGGTCGACTAGAAGAAAGTGTTGTTTAATTGATCCTCATACTATTGCACTTTCTACATGTAACATGTTTTACATGTAACTAAAAAGATGTTCATGGTAGTTAGTGATCTTTTATTATTGGTGCTCTCGTCTTGTCTTTAAATTTTTAGTATCGCGAAAGTTTGAAAGAACTTCAAAGCTAAATTCTCCCCTGTGAGGTGAAAAGAATCTAATCTTAATTCCAAGAAATGGATATTCATCGATTTTGTTATTCATAATCTACTTCCACCATTAATTGAAGCTGATTCCAAGGTTAAACTTGCAAGTTAACCTTTAACTTCTAATACGAGTAGGTGGAAATCAGGCTGGCTTGTAGTTTCTCTTAATTATTGCAAAAGACCTTAAGGTCTACCAAAACCAATGTCAGAAAACTTGATTGAATTGGCTGAAAATCAGTATGAAAATGGGACATAACTTGGTCAGATGAGCCATGGGTTGACGAAATAAACGACAGGTCCATTTTTGTAGCGAGCAACTCATGGAACAAAAAATAGAAATTTCATTGCAAATTTACGTTTTCTTTATTTGGATATTTGTTAAATTTCTCCTGTTCAGTTTAACGTGGAGTCCAAAAAGAGGATCAAGCTTAGTGGAAGATGCAGGAATTCATTTGAGTCGGGGTGGATTCATTTGAGCTGCCATCTAGTGGTCGCCCAATATATGGAAAGCTCATCGGGTGCTGGCTTCGCCATTGGCCGAGCTAGACATTTTAAAAAGAGGTTGGGAGGCCTGGCAAACCTGTTTTTAAAACTTCATCGAATGAGATGACATTATCAAATGGCCATCCCAACTTTTTCAAACTTGCTGAAAATATGAAGGCGAAAGCGAGAATAATGGTATGTAAAAGGAAAATTACGATACACACGTGAAAAATAAAACTCAATTCATTTATGACCATAAACCAATAATGAGGTAATATTCCTTGGATAAATTTCCAAATTCCAAATTATTGTGAACTAACTTATTGTTGTACTTCAAAGTAAAAATTGTAATATCATGCAACTTGACAAGTATATATGAAGCTTATTGTGCATCCTTGGATAGGAAATTGTGTGCTTCAATTTGTCGAGCATTGCAAAGCTCATCGCAAGAGTCACCTCTTTCAAAAACAGCGGCTGCCCCCATCCCCGTGCCTGCAGTTCAATTTTACACAAATATACATTATTTGTTCGTCGACCTTTAAACACGCATGCAAAGAAAGAGAGAAGGGTACCTATGCACATTGACACCACACCAAATCGATAATCTCTGCCACGGCGCTTCATCTCGTGCAACAAGGTGGCAATGCAGCGAGCTCCTGTTTATGGAATCCAGCAAGCATGAATTTCAACAAGAATTATTATGCTCAGATTAAATATACACGCCATGACAACACATGAAAGAACATATGTCAATTGGAAGGTACACCATACATATAGGGGTAGAAAATAATTCGAGGAAGAATGACAGTCTCAGGGAAAGATTGGTCAGCTAGATAAATAAACAAATAAAATATTCAAAAAATTTATTAAAGGGAGAGCTGTCATGATTTTGATATGGCTGTTATAAGGTCCAATAGATTCAACACGATGTCAATGTTTCAAGGTTTTTCTTAAGAAATAATGTAAAAACAGATAGAAAAGTTATTTTTTAACTTGTAAGTGATTTTTCTACTTATATAAGCATGTTTATAACTACATAAACAATTTTTTTAATTTTTAATTTTATTTTATTTTATTTTTTCCCCCAATTTATGCATAAGTTTTGAATTGGAAAATGGATTTTCACATAAAGCGAACTTATTAATTAAAATAATTTTTTTTTATTATAACTTGATTTTTTAGTTATAAGTTATTCTTTCTTACTTACAAGTGAAATTCTTAACTCTTATTTTACTTGTAAGTAAATTTATACTTGTAAGTAAATTTATATAATTCAATTCAACTAATATTTTCTTAATTCATAAACTGGTGAATGGAGATACAATTAAGACACATGCCTACATAGCAAATTTAATCCGAGTACTAATTGCACCAAATATTGGATAAGGATTAGATAGGGTTATATCCTTTATCTGGCCTAATGTGACATGCCAAACGCGTCTTAATCCCATGGATGAACTAAGAGATTGATTTCAAGTAAATGAATATGTAAATACCTGTTGCGCCCAAAGGATGTCCAATAGCCATTGCACCTCCATTAACATTGATTTTCTCAGGATCGAGTTCCAACTTCTTACTGCAGTATACAAATTGTGACGCAAATGCCTGCTCAAGGTCATGATTAGTAATAAACAAGCTTTGTAATAGCATAAGCTCAAAAGGCAATTTAAAGCATTCCACGAGGTTACCTCATTTATCTCGAAAAGATCAATGTCGGCAAGTTCAAGACCTGCATATTTAACTGCAGCAGGTATCGCAACAGCTGGACCAATCCCCATAATTGCCGGATCCACACCAACAGCAGCAAAGCTCCTGTAGGAGTAGCAAAAGGGATTTTTAATAGTGGGAAAAGTAGCCTAACTTTTCTTTTCAAACTTTGGTTAAGGAGGGTCTACAATTCCAACAGTTGTAAGATTCATTATCCACTACTACGTAGAAATGGCATGACTCTTTGGGTAAAACAAGCATCGAAGAACTCATTGAAAGAGGCTTAACACACCAACAATGCTGACCTAAGTTGAGTTCTTAAAAAGTAAGGAAAAAATAAATCTCGATTTTCCAGTGCTATATTGAAACATGGAAAAATACAAGACAAAGTAGCGCAGCTTAGAATGTTGGAGATCTGGGGAGTAATGAAGCTACTCAAGACTCAAGCTAGTCGGTCAATTGTTCAAACTATTCCAACTTGTCATTAGCCAATCAAATAGGAAACGTGGTCATGGTGAAGAACGCACAGATAGCATTTCATAACTAGACTAGAAGTGAGACGAAACTGAAGAACCCTCATAGACATCAGACACATGCATTATTATTATTTTTTTTATATATTTTTTTTATGACCGTAGGTGTCCGAACCAACTTACGCACACCTCGACTAATCCCACGAGACCCTGAAATTTACAGTCAGGTACTCACTTCAGTGGTCTTGAAGGGACTCGAATTGGTGATCATTGGGGAGCAAACCCAAGGCCTGACCACTGAGCTATCCCTCAGGGTTATCAAACACATTCATTATGACAAAAAAATCTTGGTTCATTTATAATATTATGATAGGCCTCCCAACAACTTCACCTATTCTAGAAGAGTCAAGAAGGATGGAGAATCAGCTGGAGGGAGGGAGTAACTGCTTTCGGTTACAAGGGCAAGTGTGTGTGTGTGTGGTGGGGGGTGGGGGGGGGAATAAATTTGAGAAGGGATAGGTATAAATGGAGGGGGAAAGGAAAGGATAGGCAGGGAATAGTTGAGTAAAGGAGAGTCTACTTACCTTGTTCTGTATTGCATTTCTCTGTAATTCCAATAGAATTCAATAACAATTTCTTCTGTTCTAATTGTTACAGTGGAGTCCTATCATATTAGTCCCTCAAAAAACTTCAAGACTTTGACAGATGTATCGAAGATTCTAAATGTGTGATTAGAGGTGGACAGAATTTTGGTGACTGGGGGGCAAGAAGAATTAATCACCCATATGGAGAGAAAAAGTGAATCAGAAGAAGATTCCACATATACTGCAACATCTAACCATCAATAGCACACCTGAATACACCAAGGATTGGCATTCCCTTCTGAATTGCAACACTTCTCCTCATAAGGAGCACAGCTCCAGCACCATCACTCACTTGGCTAGAATTTCCTGCAACGCAGCCAGAGAGGTTATTGCACAAAAGTTTACAATTCCCAAGTACGACTTTGACACATCACTCTTATTTACCAGCAGTGGTTGTGCCATCCTTCTTGAAAACAGGCTTCAGCTTTGCCAGGTCTGCAACTGAGGCGTTTGGTCGAATTCCATCATCAACAGCTATCGTAACAGGCTTCTCATCTCCAGTCTTAGGGTCGACATTCTTTTTCAACCAAATATAAATCAGTGGAAAACAAAGGACAATCCTAAGGTGATCTAAAAGAATCTTAGAATAATTAATCAAAATTCTCGCCAAAGTTATTACCTTAGTTTTCACTGGTATGATTTCATCTTTAAATTTTCCAGATGCAGTTGCAGCAGCTGCTTTTCTATGTGACTCAACCTTAGAAGACATTTAGACAGACACTAATTACAATGGAAACTTAAAGCAACCACAAATGTGACAGATCATTCAACTCACTGCAGCCTGATCTTGCTCCTGCCTTGTGACACCAAAACGACCAGCAACATTTTCTGAGGTAACACCCATTGGAAGAAGACAATCTTGAGCTTGTGCCATTGTTTTTACCTGAATTATTGACAAGATGTTAACACATAAAACTACAATCCTTAACAATGAAAAGAATAGGAATTCATGCCAGAGAAATATACTTTTGGATTGACTGATCCTTCCCAAGCCATAGGATTGACGGTCATTGATTCCAATCCAGCACCAATCCCTGATTCAGAAGGGTTAAACTAAAAAATATGAGAAATTTTATTTGTCACTGATAAATCCTTCACTGATTTGTACCTCCCTTTTGTATGGTGGGAGCCCTTTTGTTTATGGTACATGCTGATTGCTTTAATCCACTAAAGTGCATTCTAAGTTTTTAAATTCTTTTGCCAAAATTATTGGAGGCGAAAGCTGAATGGATTCTGCATTTTGTATCCATAGAAGATACCCTTTAAGCATAGATGCACATACCAATATCATAAAATCCAGCTTTGATGGCAGCAGCAACATCAGCTACAGCTTGAAGACCAGATGAGCATTGCCTATTTACAGTTCTCACAGGAACAGTTTCTGCATTTGAAAATAGCCCCATGAATATCAGTGATATGATCCTTTTAGCAAATCAAAGTGTCTATAAGCATAAAAATTTTAAAAATCATACCAGGAAAACCGGCATAAAATGCAGCCATCCTGCATTCACTTGCTCTTTGGGAGCCTGGAGCCAAAACTGTGCCAACAACAATATCCCCAACTTCACTTGGATTCAAATTTGTTTTCTCAATCAATGCCTAAACCAAAGGTTGTGAAAAAAAATTAAAATATGTAAAACCCAATTGTGAACTAGCAGTTTAAAAATCATTTAAAGTGCAAATGAGAACGAGAAATAAACCCTCAAAACTGGTGCAAGTAGATCATCAGGATAAGTATCTTTGAAGCCCCCTCTCTTTGACTTGCAGAGTGCGGTTCGATAAGCACTACATGTTAAACGCACATTTATTTTTCAGGCAGATATAACAAATTGAATCTTTCTTAGAAGATGTGAAACTTGAGTCAAAATACAAGTCGAAACAGGATAACTTACGCGACTATGACCGCATCATCACCAAACACAGAAGCCCTATGGTATGCAGCACTATCTCCAGCTGAACATATAGACGCCTGGTACATATTTTGGGGGGGGGAAAAAAAGGCAACTGCTAATTTCAGCATTTCTTGCCATTGACATGGACAGAAATGCACAAGTACAAGTCACAATTTCATTACAAACACACTTTTAAGTTACCAAATATAAATATTATAATCGTCAAAGAGTTTATTTTGTAGATCTGAAATACACACTTAAAAATGAGCATTCAGAATGGAAATTTTATCGCATTAAGCTTTACAAAGCAAGAGAGCTTTAACAAGGTAGAATATTATACAGAATCTTTCATTATTCAGAAATGCATGTATCTTCAAAATTTAAAAACTTACTCCAGAGTAAAAGGCAAACAACTACATATTTTGGACTATGATTCTCTCTCTCACACACACACAAAATCACAGAGAGATAATAGCCTCATTTGATCCCCATTCTCCTTCCCATTCTTTTTTTCTCTTATTTTCAACTACACAATTTTCCAGAAAATTATATTACACACGAATCAAAAACTTTTCATTCTTTTTCAACCACACATTATTCAAAAAAACACTATTCCAACCATTAAAATTTGGAAAGAATGGGGGCTAAACGGGTTAAATATTCCATTTATCCTCGTACAAATTTGTCAAAATTAACCAACAGTAATATATCATAGGGTTAAAGAAATAAAACTAACCAAAAGTGTCCCAAAGGCAAACACAAATGGCACATAAATATCATAAGGTTAATAAAAGGCACGGCACATAAATATGCTCACATGGCTACTCTGATTACTAATTTATGAAAAATAACACTAATCACTTTAGTCCTGTAATGACCAAAATAGTATTCGAAGTTTATTAGGAAACAAATGGCGGTGAAACGTTTATGATGTATATGGTTAGGTGGCATATATTAAATTAGTCTTTGTTAGATTTATTATACTCAAGTTAGCAATTATTAATATATTCAAAATAAGCTGGATTATAAGGATATGGCAGATTTATAATTGAGGAATTTGTATGCCTCTCATACCTATATATCCAAAAAACTTATTAACAAATAAATTAATTTTTTTCTTTCTATTTATTTATTTTTGTGTTTCTTCTTCTTTGTCCTTACAAGTTCAATCTGTCGATTCAATTTCTAGAATTATAGTTCCATGCCAAAATCAGTAATCAGAGAACTAGAATTTTTCTAAAATATCACAAATTCGAAAGGAAAGAGTAAGATCATCACATAATTGAGCTCGTACCAACAATTACACAAACTTCACGATATACTCTCCAATTGGATACATAACTAGTTTCAGACCTCAGATTCAATCAAATCACAACAAAGCAATTACAAAAACTCAACAACAGCTCCAACCCAATAACAAAAAGTCCAAAGAAAAAAATTCGAAAATTTTAAATCAAACACATAATTAAAAAAAAAAAAAAAAAAAAAAAAAAAAAAAAAAAAAAAAACACTGACGGAGATTGTAGATTCGATATCTTCAAGGGAAGAAGAAGTGAAAGAAGGACGAAGATGCTGCAGCAGAACCCTTTGCCTCTCAGTTGCCTTCTCCATCTCTCTCTAAAATTATATGCAAGTATACAGAATTTGGGCAAACAAACTCATACGAATGCTTAAATTACGTATACTTATGGGTGTGAATGAATTGCTTTGGGAAACGGGAAACAGATTGGATTGAAAATTAGGTGTAAATCTAGATTAAAAAAACAGATAGATTAACGAATGGACACATAAATGAAGGATAGAGCTGTTTGGACAGGGCCCACAAAGCTGCCCTGTCCAAACAAAAGGCCTAATTGGGGACCCCGGGCCCACAGGTAAATTGGAGCAACAGTGTTCAAGGAATTGAGTATTGGCCCTTTTTTTTTTTTTTTTCAAATTTTAATGTTTAGAATAGTATTTTTTATTTTTTTTTAAGAATGTGTGGTTAAAAAAGAATGAAAATTTTTCGATTTACGTGTAATATTATTTTTATGAAAGATTGTATAATTGAAAATAAGATAAAAAAAAATGAAAGAAAATAAGGACCAAATAGACAGTGTTTTTGTTTTTTGAATAATGCTATGTAACAACTCTATTTTAGATGGCATTAAATTATAAGTTAAATAAAAGTTGAAATTAAATGAATTATTTAATTTCACCTATTATTTGATATCATATCAGCTCTACCTAAATTAATATTACAACTCCAAGGGAACTAAACAGTGTTAATCTTTTTTTCTTTTTTTTTGGTCCAAAATTTAATAAAATATTGCCATATAGTATTCTATAAACTCATTTGTACAATTTGTATGTACACATAACATTGTGGTAATAGAGGCAACTGGATGGTGTCAATTTTTCTTTTTCTTTTTCATTTTTTTTTTTAAAATTGCACTACTCATCTCCAATATTTTATAAAAATATCATACGTGTCACAACCATTTTATTATTCGGTTGCGCTTGGTGTACATAATTTATATACGTAGAGGTGTCCACACCCCTCACTTGAGGTGGGACCCTCGCGAGATAGGCCCAATCTTCTATAAAAATTAGTAGTCAGCTAGTCTCAATCTTTTATAAAAAAATGTATGTCTGTTTATAAAGGATTTAAGTGGTTTGATTATTTTCTTATTCATTAAAAGACGTTTGAATTAGATTTATGTGGATTTAACGCCTAAATTGGACAGAAACCATATATAGGGACTAGGTTTGCTAATTTTCAAAAGTTGTGGACAGATAACACTTTTCAATTAGCCAGCCCAAGCCGCGGTGTTGGCACGTGACCCCACTTGCCAAACTTCATAAAGCATTATCTGAAATAGAGATGGTCCCTACAGCATTATGTATAGAACCCTGCTTTTTGGTCAGACTCAAAGCCAGGCCAAAAAACAGGAGGCTGCCATGGCCTTGAGCTTGGCCAAACAGGGTTGTCCTTGGGTATATGAGTATTATGTTGATTGCTGACACTATTTCGCAATGGGTAGGCGCTTAAAATAATAATGTTACTGGTACACAATGAATTATATCGGGGGTAGAACCATGAATTAATGCTACGGGAGACAAAAAATTTTAAAAATTTAATGTAAGAAGAAAATTTATATATAACAAGAAAAATTGTAATATAACGTTACTTATTATAGTTGTACCCGACAATATTTTAGAGCATAAAATTCATCTATCCCATAAAGATATAATTGCATAAACATAAATTGATAAAACCATAATCAATTAATCATAAACCATCAATACAACTTACCCAATTTCACCATAAGTCCACATTAGATTGCTCATTGATAGTAATAACTAATAGCTTTGTTAATTGTTACTAGTGTTCTAGTACACTATCTAATCCTTGTTTAATTGATAATTACCAATAGTCAATAGATAGCTTTCCTGATTTTCCAATTCTAAGAACCAAGATACTAGCCTTATTTAATTGCACAATGAAAGGAAAGGCAAAGTAAACTAACATTTTCGATTCCCAGTAGGTGCTAGTAACATTAAGCAGTAAGCTAACATTTTCGGTTTTCCTCCGGATTCCATTTCGCACACGATCCACGGTTTCCTCCGACGGTTGGTGGTAGCTGGTCAACGATCTAAGGCTCCGAGTGGGTGAAAAGATTTAGGATTTTAAAATTTTGGAAAATATGTCAACTTTGATTTTCCAAATGACGTGAAGATGAGAAGATGGAAGGAATGAGTATTGATTAAAATTATACAAGTATGGTTTTAAAAATTGGGCCTAAAATTAAATAAATAAGTGGGCCAATGATCAAAACAAAAAATTAGTTGAGGAATTGAATTGTGCTAGCTCATTGAAATTAAGCTCCCGTTTGGCCCCCATTAATTTCTATTCCATTATATTTCGTTTTTCCCTCTTATATTTTCAACCATACAATCTTCCATAAAATAATATTACACGTAAATCGAACACCTTTCCTTCCTTTTCAACCACTCATTATATATATATATATATATATATATTCCACCCATTAATTTTTCCACAAAATGGGGGTCAAACCGGGGGTAATTGTTGGCGGTCTAACATATTGGGGTACTTTTAAGTTTGACCAAGTCAAAGGGAGGAAACTCCACTTTGACTTTGAAAATCATGAATATTATCACATTGGCCTCTTGAATGTTAAAAGACAAGGATGCCCTTAAATGGATTATACAATTACAAAATAATGTATTGTTGAAAAGACTTTACTACCCTTTTAGTTATTAATTGAAAACCAAACACTTCCCCACTTATAGAACTTCAAAACGAGCTTCCAAGAAGAAAAAAACTCTCATCTTTTATCTGCTTGAACCTCAACATCTCAAAAAACGTTCAAACGCTGAAGCCGAAAATTTTTTTCATATCAATTTTTTCAAATCGATAAGTATATTTACACATGTTTAATTTCTTTTTCAGTAAATTAGTATATGTTTGAATAGAGAAAATTTTTTACGACATAGTAATAGTTAGTATTAATTTTTTTTAGCAGATCTTACGTATGAAAAAAAAATTTGAACAGATCTATAATTTTTTTCTTCTACATAATGTGAAAAATAGAAAAGCAGTCGGCTGTTTGGTTGTTAAACAGCTAAACAGTCACGTGACTGTTGGTTGTTTAAGCAGCCAAACAGTCGGTCGGTTGTTAAAGCAGCCGATAGTTTGGCTGTTTAACAGCCAACAATCGGCTGTTAACAGTCGATTGTCTGTTGACAGCCAACGGTTGGCAATGCATTATTTTTTCTTATAATTAATAAATGAAGTTGATTAAATTCGTTTCCTCATGCAGATATGATAATCCCCGTCTGTTATTTCGGTAATTTCGAATTGAATGAAAATAATCGGTGGGAATGAAGATGGACGAGTGACATACGTGGTTGTATTGCAATTCCCATAACAGAGAGTACACCATATTTAGAAATGTACCACGATTTGCAAAATAAGCTAAATGTCAATCAATCTCAATACGATACGAAATTGAGATATCTATTCAACGGTTATGGAGATTCATCCATTCCGATGCCACTGATATTCGTTACTAATGATGCTGAATTGAATTATCTATTAAAATTGAATAAAATGTATCGGACTTCGACTGTTCTTGGTGTGACTTTAATTACGAAGGATGTTATCGAAGGTGAACACGAAGATTCAGATAGAGCGGATAACAATGATCAAGGTTTTTGGGAGACAGTGGAGATAGTTCCTGCGGATGATGTGGTTATTCCTGAGACAGTTGCTTTTGATCGTGATGTCGCTGTTACGCGTAGAATTCCGTCGACGGTTGAAGACAATGAGAATATAAATGAGTTTACAAATGAGAATTTGATTGCTCTATTCCGACAGAGACATGAGCCAGGTGGGAGCTCACAGGTTGGAACAAGTGGACCGTCCTCCAATTCTTCTCGTGTGGCTCCCGATTATGAGGACTTGTATGTCGAGCAACTGTTTGAAACCAAGAAAGGTTTGCAAGAAGTTGTGCATCGGCAGGCATTAAAATATAACTTTGAGTTCAAGGTAAAGAAATCAAACAAGTCATTGTTGACCGTTGCCTGCATCGAAGGCAGTTGCAATTGGTGCTTGAGAGCAACTAAGATGGACACGAATGAGTGCTTTGTAATTCGCAAGTATTCACGAGAACATACTTGCTAAGTGGGAATTCTTCAAAACGATCACAGGCAAGCTCGAGCATGGTTTATTGGTCGACAGATAATGCACAAGTATCAGGACCCACAGACGATTTACAGACCTTTGGACATCATTAACGACGTCCGTCAAGAGTATGGAGTGGTCATGAGTTACCAGAAAGCCTGGGAGGCCAAAGAATGTGCGTTAGAGGATTTAATGGGATTGGCTGAGAAGAGCTATGTTAAATTGACCAGATATTGCCATAACATGGGGAGAACTAATCCTGGCACGACATTTTTTATTGAGACGGGGAGCGATAATTGTTTTAAGTATTTTTTCATGGCTCTCGGATAATGTATTCGGGGTTTTCAAAATGCAATGCGACCCGTAATTCTAGTTGATGTACAACTCTGAAAGCTAAATATCAAGGCAAATTAATTATTACTACATGTCAAGACGCCAATATCCAAATTTACCCTATTGCATTCGGCATAGTCGACAGCGATAATCATCTGTCCATGCGTTGGTTCTTTTCGAAACTGAGGGAAGTGATCGGAAACTTTTCAATTACATGTCAATTTTTATCAAAAGTTTTTAAAAATCTAATCTTGAGCTAAATCAAACAAGGTTTAGCTATTGTTTAGTCCTAATTTTAAAAATTTATTTTCTTTAAACTCATTTTTAATCACATATTTTATAGAATCCACATTTTTTTATCAATTTTTCAACCACAATTTTCATCAACTTTTATCTAAATTTATTAATTTATATTTAACTAGTAAATATAATACCATTTGGAGATGACTAATATAGTCTAAGACTCTAACATGAACTTCCAATGACTATAATTAGTCTCCTACAAGTTGTTCATGTCCACCACATCTCATGCAAATTATTAGATCTATAAATTATGTAGCATATATAACGCGGAAGGGAATCACACATTATCTGATTGAATATCGATAATGTCAGTTGGATTTGATCGGATCAAATTTAACAATTTTTTTCATTAGACTTTTGCCTGGTTCAATGGCCTCAACTTGGCCCTTTCCTCTCTCCGTTTGATCTCTCAAGCCTTGATCAAACCCTAGCCAATCCCTCAAACACCTCTCTCTTGCACTCATTGTAATTTTTCAAACAATTGACTTGATTACTAGATGATCGTCAGACCTT